TTTGTTAGGGGGACCTTCATCGAAACCAAGTTTCTCTTCGTATCTACGATGTAGGTTTGGCCTAAGTTAATTTTAGATAAATATATGTCTTTGCAACGAAGACTTTAATCAAGGCAGACTTTATGGTTATGGAGACCTCCAGTTAAACTCAAATATTTTAAGAAGTTGTTTGACCTTGTTTTCGCAACTTGGTCATATTGGTGGGAAGACTTAGAGGAACACACCTAGTCCGAAGTCCATTGTATGCATTTGGGGTACATTTGGTACATTTGGGAATGTACCACGTCCACGGTCCGAATTTGGAAATGATCATGCATAAAATGGACTCCGGACTAGGTGCGTTCCTATAAGTCTTCTTACCAATATGACCGAGTTGCGAAAACAAGGTCAAACAACCTCTATACAACGAAAGAAGACTGCGACCACACAAAAGGCCACACCATCTTGGTCTTCATACCTTCGAATATTCTAAATCAAACTTTTAGTCTTTTATTATGAACGTCACAAGCTATAAATAACGTTAGGCTCGTCAGCTCAACTTGGCCTCGTATTAATGAAGCTTTGTATTCGTGTAAAAAGTAGACTAGAAGGGATTCGTAAAGTGGCCCCAACGGATGTGGAAAGAGGTTTATTTTCGAGTAGTGTCTGATTATTTGGATGCAAAAGTTTTTGACAAATTGTTTTCCAATCTTCATAGTGGTCACATAATGTTGGAAAGTTTAGCTAGGATTTATCCGAATCAGTGGATGGTGCACCATGTATCTCTTTGCTTAAATCGGCAGTCAAAACTGCAAAAAATCCTTGTTTACGCTAACGTAATTCAATTTTCATGTTAAATTAAGGGTCCAATAATCTGAAAGTATTGAAGAAGCCTTCGAAGACCAGCTCATCTGCCGAATTCCTTGCCCGCCACATTCGAGTCGGAAGATGGCTTTTATCACATTCCTACTTCCTAGTTCTTCCCACCTCTACTTCTATCACTATTTTGAATTTCATACCAGACTCCTATGGTAACCTTTCTTCGAGTACAGCCTATCATGCCTGTGTCCACTCCAGCTACATGGTTTCATGAAAACTGTTCATTTTGCCTCCAACCGCAGGTTCCATTGCTTAGCCTGTACACTCGCCCATAGTACCAACTGTCCCCTGATAGTCTGCATTTTCAAACATGCACCTGAAGCAATACTTCCATCTCAATCTCGGAAGCAGCCAAAGTTCCCCCGTCGTAGCAGTATTTGGCATATTTCAGCTGGTGTATGCCATATCAAATGCCAATATTCAATCCTCTACTTTCTTACAGCATTTAATATCCCAAAACTTATTTAGCTTGAGTAGGTTTCTATATAAAAAAGAACTGAATTGTACCAAGATTATATGAATAGGCCACTCAATGTCATTGAATTTCATTTGGGTTCGTTAGCTACTTAAGAGTGAAGAAAAGGGGACCAAGAGAAAGAGAAAGTCTGCAACTTAACGAATGAAGATGTAAAAGGAAAAATTTTCTCTGATGATTTGACGAAGAGTTCGTTGTCTTAATTTTGGAGATTAAGAATTGTATCCACCTTTGGTTCTATACGACCATTGAAGTTCACTTAGCATTGTCCCCCGAAAGCTATTCTCATCCAGGCTGAACCGCTGTTTCGATTTCGCCTGGATCTCATCAGCATCCCCAACTCGGGTAGTGCAACGTTCATTTTTGACATATTATCGCAAAGTCACATTGTCACGGGTGCCAATGAGTAACGGGGCTGATGCGAATTTCTAAGCTAGCCAGACCTCTACGATATCACATTTACTTTAGTCGGATTTTCGATGAAGCAAACTTGTATTTGCTATTATAATCAACTATATTATATTTAGATTGAGTGGGTCTCGATACTTAACTGATGAGTACCAGGCGAAGTTGAAACTGCACTCCATACTGAATGAGAATGCATTCTGGTAGGCAAGGCTAATTGAAATTCAATGGCCTTATATCACCAGGGGTGAATAGAATTCTTAATCTCCAAAATTAAAACCACGAACCCTTCCCCAAATCATCCGAGGACATTGTTACTTTTACATCTTCTTTTGTTAAGTTGCAGACTTTATCTTCTGGGTCCTCTTTTCTTCAATCTTCCCTCTCAAGTAGATAGCAAGCTCAAGACCTGCCAGGCTTAGACTAAGAGTGCGGGAGTTCTCTCTCTAAGCAACAATTGTTGCACAGCATAAGGAGTCAGCTCAACAGAGGTTTGAAAGTTTGCTCGTTGATTTGACCACAACAGAGGAGAGCAGAGAGAGGCCTCAGCTCGATATGGCAACGTAATTTGCCGTAAAGATGTGAAAAGTTGACTGGTAGCATCGATTTATGGTAGCCCCAGCAGGTTAAAGGAAGCTGCCTGAGATGAAGAGGTCAGCCTAACCTTTCTTATCGAGGGAGTAGTTGGGTGCGGATTGCCTTCACGCACAAAGTCCTCGCAGTCACTGTGCAATCGCGGACGGTCATCATCATAGTCAAGGTCCTCCGCGTGACCACGACTCGCTCCATTTGCAGCGGTGACGGCCGGACTGGGTTCATCGTCGTATCCTGAGCCATGCTCTTGGAATTCGGCATTGGTCATGCTGCCACTGTTACCTGCTGCTGCAGAACCGTCCAGCCCGCTGGAAGAGGAAGAGGTGAAACAAGGTCCATCAATCTTGAACCAGGCATCTGACTCGCGGGCCCGGTACGACCACTTGGCCACGAGGCCTTCGTTGTCACCGTAGACTGTACAGTTGATGACAAAAGTGGCGCCGCGAACGCGCTCAACATTTTGCATGGGTATAATTCTGGCCGGGACTGGATTATAAAAATGATGAAGATAAAGCATAATAAACATCTAATTTGTATGGTATTGCTGTAGGCACATAACACACATTATTACATATTGCTTTTTAGATCAGAAACAATGAATTGTTGAGGAAATATTTTCCAGGCGAAAAGCCGATGGTCGAAATATCTCTGGGTTAATGCCAGCCTATTTTGGCAAGTCACTGCGAGAGAGGGCAGTTAAAAAGGAAAATAGAAAGTAGTATCTCTTAGGAGTAGGTAAGCATACAAGCTACTATCTCGTTTAATGGTACTATAAAGGGAAGAAAGGTAGAATAAAAGGAGTAGGTTT